TTCCAAAATAGGCCGAAGTGTATCAATCAAGGTGTCAATATCCCATGAGTTTGGCCACCCTGAAGTTATAATGACTTTTGAGAGTATGTTTACGTTTTCAATTTCACTAATGGTCCATGGCAAACATTAAACTTCATTCTGATTGGAACGTGAGCGAAATGGGGAGGATATGAGGAACTGGAAGCCATCCAGCCGATACGACCCGTATACAAGAAACGTGTGCAGAAACGAAGGTGGAGGAAATTTCCACCAACTGTCTGTAAAATACTTCCCGACCAAAGCAAACCCAGAACTCGAATGGGCGAAAGTTCAATCCCACCCAAGAAACAACATCCCCGAACCAGTTCATCTGATCGACTCAGAAGTACGTGACCTCGAAGACATCACTCAAGCTTATCGTATCGCTGACTATAATGTCTCCTACCACCACCCAATCACCCACGTTCAAGCCTACCAAGTTCACGATCGTATGCAGTTGTGGCACCTTCCACAATGTACCACCAATTAAAACCATTGGCCAATATATCACAGGTGGAAACCATCAAATGAACCCCCAATCCCCCTGTCATACTTTGGAAATGGTTCGTGATCCAGAGTAGTTTCGTTTCTGCAGTTCTACTGCAGACAGTACCCTGTGGTTGTTGTTGTTGTTGATCTGCTCGCCCGTGGGATTTTTCCGAACAGCACATTTCTTAGTGTCGTCATGCGCCACCGAAACCCTCTCTGTCACGAATCAAACCTTCGAAATTGAGTAAGACCTTACAATTGACCAGACTAGTTTAACTGAAGATAATACTTGTATCGACTGGGAGTGGATACCTGAGGAAAAACGCAAAGTAAAACGAGACAGTCATCCCGGAAGACCCTAGGAAAGACCGGAATTTAACTGGCTGAAATACAACTTTTCGCCCCAGACCTTTTAATTTTATTCTATATTGTTTATTCTGCATAACAAACTTGTAAAACAAACAAAAAATCCTTCATAGCCGGCACAATCGCAACCCCGATCGCATTCCGTACCGTACCGTCGAATTGAACGATCTTACTGGCATTTGACCAACCGTCGCTGGAGGTAACGCATTTCGGCCGTCTTGACTGCCGTATGGACCCTATCGACTGACCATGGTGTGGGAGAATTCTGTTGACGTGATGCCCGAATAGAAGCTATTCCGGATGAACCCACGAGCCATTGGGATTTTCGCTACGAATCGGATGAGATAAACTTGCTTTTGTTGGTTTTGAAGGAATTCATAATACAGACAATACTTACAGAATTTTTCCTAAGAATTTTTCAAAAAGTGGCAAGGAACGATCCTTGAACCCATGAGTAGCCGAATGGAGTAAACAAAGAAGTCAACCTTAGCAACGATTGGCAAAACGTCAACACTTGACAGTGATGTCGATTTATATCAGCATGTGTCCTAACGTGCCGAACAGTGTGCCATGCTGTGTTTTGGCACAGTGTGCGGAGTTGATTACCACTTGAGTTTGCTGTCTCTTATTACTCTTCACCAATGGCAGACACGAAGTGACTGCTGCCAGCCGTTATAGAAGTTTCGGTTGCGTTTGGGCGTAAAGCAAAAATTATGAAACTCAATCTCAGTTTGTTGAGTTTTGCAGCTGGTGAGTTTTGTTAGCTTGATATTCCGAGCTGCGATATCGCAGCTTGCAAAATCAACCACAGTTGTTTGATTGTCTACGAAAATCAAGCGTGATCTTGGGCGATGGTGAGATTTGATTGTTTGATATTTTTCCAATACTGCCTCTCATGCCGAACAACTCTGGACCAAGCAGTAGCAAGAGGCGCTTTCTGGCTAGGGTATCTTGGTCGTTACTTAGGTACAGAGAACAGCGGAGTGAAAGTGGACATAATTGATTTTATTTTCAGCTGCTATAGTTATTATTTTTCATATAATTCTTATTTATTTTCTCAAATAAGTACAAATTATCAGTACAGCGGCGCCGGTGATGAAGTGGTAAGCGTGATTGCCTCTCATCCCAGCAGGCCTGGGTTCAATCCCAGTCAGCGCCGCCGGGATGTTCTGAGGCATAACATCTCTGATCACGCCTTCAGCCGTTGGTCCCCAGATCATGAGTTGATGGGTCGATTGGTAGGGTCCAGATGTGGGAGCTGCCTCCCTGGCATTGGTAGCATTAGTGCTCAGCACGGAAAACAAGATCGACGGAAAACAAATCAAGGGAAAAAAATAATAAATACAATCGGATAACTAATATATTTTTGGAAAAATGTGAGAGATGCTCGCGAAATTTCAATTTCCACAGCCACTTTCCATCTTTTAGTAATAAATTAACTATAGATTCTTTAGCGTTTAAGCATTCACCAAAATCCAAAATACGAAGAAAAACTGTTTGTAGGCCTCTTCATCTTGTTTCCTATACACAAAATTGAATTGGAAAGGTATTGTATTGTATCATTTTACTCAACCGGCGATGTTCAACCATTAATAACAAAAAAAATTCAATGAATTTGATACTAATGAGAATTCTATCAGTTTTTTTTTTTTTTTCAAAAACCACATCGTTAAGTTTCGCAAATTTTCGAAAGTTAGTGAAAATTTGATAAACTTCTGCAAGCGATTCTACGCAAAGACAGGATACCACAACAAGTAGGTTATGGCCAATTTGCTTAAGAACTAATCAAAGGAAGTCTTTTATGGACCAAGACCTCACAAAAAAAATATTTTATAATTTTCAACTACCAACCGGAGTAGATTCTTATATATAAAATTACCGTTATCGATCTGAAATTCAATTAATTAAAGCTGAAATGTACAAGTAAATGTAAATTAATATCGTTATTCGTTGTTCGTTGACATTTAAATCAATGTCAATTTATCGTTTGACCTTCATGTAAAAACACATGCATGTAGAATTCAATCAAAATTAATGGAATATTAAATACATTCATGTACACACTTAGTTTTTTTTACCGAGCTTGGCTGTGCAAATCTCGGCAAAAAAAGTTTCACTGAGATCATTTGTTTGCTGAGATTCAGCTAAGCATTATCCGAGACTCAGCAATCAAATGTCACTTTTGCTGAGATCTCAGTGAAACTTTTTTTGCCGAGATTTGCACAGCCGAGCCCGTCAGAAAAAAAAACTAAGTATGTAAAATTAATGTTTTATTGCTGTACATTTCCATTAAGGCTAGAAAAGACATCAATGTGCCTATGTAAGTTTTTGCTGTGCTTATTGTAAATACTCAAAGAATTCCGCGAATTGATGCAATCGCCATTATACCTTATTACTGTGAAATCACTCGACACAGGAATTCGGTTGGCTCACAAATAGGACTTACCTTTCCTAGAGTCTGCTGCTGAATGCAATGGAACAAGCACGAGCTTTCGTAGCCACATCATTTGTGCCGTGTTGCCAATGTTCCACATCAGTCGTACCAACATTGTATGAAAGTATCACAAACACTTTCATTAGTGGGGGAAAGGAATCTGTGAATATTAATTCCCGTATTCATGTACCTCACACTTATGGATTGTTGTCCAGGTTTTGTTATGAGTCACCCCACTGAACTTAACATGCAAACAGCAAAAAAATGTGAATTTACTTTTGACACATTACAATGTGTCGAATCGGAACCTACCGAACTTATAAAAACCAAAGATTTAAGTAAACTAAAGGAGAAAAATCTATACAACTTTATTAGTTAGGTAGGTTCCGATTCAACACATTGTAGTTTCATTTTTATAACTGTGATCTTGACTTTTTTACCTAGGGATGAGTACTTAAGGGGGTTAGATTTTGATAAGTTCGTTAGTGGGAATGACACTGATGAAGACTGCACATTGTAGTCGAAATACGTATCTGTCATGGATACCAAATTAATTAAGTCGAATTAAATGGAAGATAACCCTTTTTGCTGTTGTATTTGAGCATTCCGCGAACAACCCAATTTCATTACTTAATACAATTACAATACATTAATACATTTCAGCTGTAATTAATTGAATCTTTTATCGTTAAGGATGTTATTTTATATTCAAAAACATTCTGTGGTTCGTTGTTGGAAATACCAACATATTTTTATCTGTGTATCTATCCACAGAATTTCACTATAATTAAAAAAAAGTAAATGAAAAAAGATTTGCACAGCAAACGAAATTTATCAGCATCTAATCATAAACTTTGAAGCACTCAGCGAAGTTATATTTAGGGACAACAATACATTTACCCTGTTCTCATCTAAAACTCGAAAACTCCTCATGCGCCCCCAGTTTGCACACCATTGACTGCCCGGATTGTTAAAAAATAATGTTTTGTTCTTTCTCATTTTTATCATATCTCCAAATCATTGCTTATGCGGGCACTTAAATTCACACCATCACAAAACCATACCTGCAAATGCAAAATTCGCGCATAAATTTTCAAAGGAAAAGCATTATGCACTATGTACAAAGTTGGTAAGGCCCACCAGAAGCTTAATTTTTACATTTCCTTTTCTGTTTCACCTTTTCTTCCACACGGTTAAAAAGTTTTTCCAGTTCAAAAGTTAAATGTTGTCAGCCCCTTGATTCCTGCGTGTGCATTTAGCTCGGTGTTTTATGGCTTTTCCCTCTCCTTTCCACCATCCACTGACTGCACTGCCCATTTGAGGGATCCTGCAAAAAAGCAGACCGATAATTGATACTACGTGTCTATAAAATGTCTGTTGATTACTTCTTGCTCAACGGTCTTTCTCGATGTCTGATTCGAAGCTCTAATAGCCCCGAATGATGAAGTTCTAGCATGCCGGCACACTCATACTCCCAATCGGATAATCCACATGTGGAACACGTTTCATATTTTGTTTCACGTTATGCTATCTGCCACTAGACCACTGTTCTTCAGTCGAAAAAAAAACAATCCCTTTTCACGTTCAATTTATTTCTGTAGCACAACTTTGTCCGCTTGGATGAGCTTAAGGAAACGAGTGAAAGCTTAATTATTATTTTATTTCTTTCCATCTTCTTTCCCGCATCTACCAGTGCCCCGAAAACTGCCAAACCCTGGATCGGCGGGTCGAAGCTAAACTGCCGCGGTGGAAACTCTCCTGGGCCCCTTGAGGCCATCTTCTTTGGACCGCAGGTGGGAGGCGGAGCTAAATGTGGCGGCGGGTCAGCTGGTCGCCTATTGCACGCTCGTAATGTCCATAAGGAAATCTGTGCCTTGCTGCTGGGAGCACTGGAATCGCTGAGGCTTTCGTTACAGGAATTTTGTACCGTACTACCGCATCAATGGGCTGCCCTGACCGGTTCGACGCCACTGTCGAATCTGGACACCAAACAAAGACTGAAAAAGCTGGCCGATTCGGCAAAGGTGAGTACTTTTGATTCAGTTTATTGAAGCAGAATCGTTTCATCGGTGTTTTCTTTTACAGCTAATGGACACCGAAGATGACCTGGCGGCACGAGCCAATTCCGATATAGCTCAACTTTGTGCCGAATGTATACTTTACTGGAGACGAGTGCTGTCGGCAACAACCCAGCCTTCGGTGCACAGCCTGTTGGCCAAGAAGCATCATACACTCCGCGTAAGACGATTTGCCGAGGGATTCTTTGTGATCGTGAATCCAAGGCACGCGGCTAGTGGATGCTACGACTCGAACTACCAGAACTACGTATCCATTTGCGAATTGGCTCGGAGATCTAGGTATCTATCATCACTACCGCCCTTGCCAGTGCATTGTACTCCATTGGACGGGGACGCAAACTCGCTTCCACTGATTTTTGAAGATCGTTACACCGATTCGAACAACTACAGCAAGCGTCGATCCGGTAGTGAACCTTATCTAAACGGTCATAGTGGAACGTTAGGGAAATTGAAGAACCACCACCATCCGAACAAGATAGCTCCAATTATGAATACCAAAGAATGCTCCTGTGGGATAGCATCATGCTACATTGAACCTATCCCGAAAATGTGCAACAACTACATGGGTCTGATGACTACAAGATACGCCTTAGGAGGTGACATTCTACAAGCAAGTCTGACGATAACTCCTGCAGCGGCTGCATCGCAAAATGGCGTATGTTCGAAAACTCTTTCGAGACATTCGGTGTCTACGCTTGTCGAGCCGGAATGCCAGTGGGATCAGTTTAAGGCCGTTTATGCTCCGGGAACAAGCGTTAGTGGTGGGACCCTTCCCACGCGGCATAGTAAATCTCTGGACCAACTAGAAATTCAGAACAACACTTCATCTCTACCCCGTCAACACGTCCATAATGTCAATTATAATAATTACCCTCAAAAGCAAATCATTTACCATCAACCGGGTAATGCCATTATTCAAGCAATTCCAGCGAAACCCAAAAAGAACCCCGTTCAGGCTGAAGATCTACTGAAGAACATCACCGAGTTCAGAGAGAAATACAGGAACCCAGGTGATACCCGAAAAACCACCAACTCAAACAGTTCCAACAGTACCAGTATATACGAGGTTAGAGACACTTCTCACCAGATAATCAAAGAGCACTCAGCGAACAACGTGCAGACCCTCAATCGGATGCCCAAACAAATAAACGGTTACGCCGTACCAAGAACTGACTACATCCATGAAATGAAACCTCACAGTCAATCGGTGATGAACCATGAACCAAGCGGTCAAAAAGTGTCACAACAACAGTCATGCTACTACAACTCGCTACCGAAAAATGCTGGCATGGGTCTCTCGATACCGCCAAGGAATTCGTATCCTCCAATTCGTAGTAAAAAGCAGCAATCAACTGGATCGCTCAACACCAAGACCGAATCGAACACTATACCACGAAGTAACTCTTCCCAAATGTTACGAATCCAGAATGGAACTCCCAACATCAACAGCAACACACTACCACATCGTCCCGTAGAATTTGCCCGCATCCGGGTTGCCGATTTCAAACAAATGGTCAACAATCATCAACGACGGAACAGTAAAGGCACAAACGGTACTAACGATTCCAGTAGTTCTGGCAGCCCTGCGGTCACTCCAAAAACTCGCAGTAAGCAGAGACGTCTACTCTCATCGGCAAGTGTTCCATTCAAGTTGGAAAACCTAGAACTCGAGCAAGCAGGTGGCACAGCTGCCTTCAGCGAAAGTCTACCGAATCTTGCACCGCCCCCAGCGTTCAGTAATTCCCCATTGCCACCATTGCGATTAAGACGCAGACATTCCAGCAGCGAATCGACCTCTTCCTTAAGCGAACAGTCCGGGTGGGTTTCCAGTCGGAGGAGCACGGGTCCTTCAAGTCCGGATACAATAAGAAACGACCAAAGAATCGTCAACGGTGAACAGTTGCGTAAGAAGCTGCTAAAGTTACTCAGTGAACAGCCTCGACTGATGGATAGGAAGAACAGCAATCAATCGAACATCAGTGAATTCCTGGTTCGAAGCAACCAAAGCTCTATGAAGTCCAAATCAAACACCGATAATATCAAAAGCTCTGTTCAAATCGAAAATTGGAACAATTTAGAAAAAGAGTGGAACGAACCCAGATCGATACAGAAGAGTTCAGAAGGCAGAAGAAACAATCAACACTCCACGATGGATTCAAGACACCAAAAGCGAAGCACTAAGAAAGAGAAATCCAAATCGGACTTCGATTTGGCCAACATCTCCGACTACGTATTCGAAGATCTACGGTTACTTCCACCGCAACAATTTCGCGACCTGGCACCTCCACCGCCAGATGAGTTCCGGGATCCTCCGTCGTTGATCGAAGTCGTTCAAAAAGAAAAGCCCTTACCTATCAAGAATCTCCCACCACCAAATGCATTACTCCAACCTGCTCCCACTCAAATACAACAACAGCAGCAACAACACCAACAGCAGCAGCAACAACAACAACAACAACAACAACAACAACAGCAGCAACAACAACAACAACAACAACAACAGCAGCAGCAGCAACAACAACAACAACAACAACAACAACAACAACAACAACAACAACAACAACAACAGCAACAGCAACAACAACAACAACAACAACAACAGCAGCAGCAACAACAACAACACCAGCAACAACAACAGCAACAACAACAACAGCAACAACAACAACAGCATCAACAGCAACAAAAACAGCAACAACACCAACAACAACAACAACAGCAAAAACAACAACCTCCACCATCCACCCTTATCCCACAACCACAGGCCCTACCTTCTATGATTGTCCAGCAGCAGCAAATCATCCCCGCAACCCAGCAGTACCAAATTGTCCCGGTGCAGCAAATCATCCAACAACCACAGTACAGCAAGCCAATCCAGCACCCCATCAACCAGCATCACGTCTTCAGGAAATACGAAGTCCAAGCCATCGACAATCCCCTCTACCACATCTACGAAGTCGTCAAAGCACCTCGGCCCGTGCTGAAGTCACAAAGTTCCAGCGAACTCGCTGCCATGGCCAAATGCGCTGAAACCCTGAACAAGCCGAACGCAACCCTCAATAGCAACATCCCTCTGCAGCAAAACGGAACCGTTCATGCAACCCATGAAAACCCAATCCCACCGGAACGGAAATCATCCATGCGTAACCTTGAACGCATTCAGCACAGGCCAGAAGAAGATGAGAACAAGAAACGGATCGATCCACCCATGCAGCTGTTGGAATTTGAGAAATGTCGAGAAGAGTTTCGCAAACAAATCAGCTACTCCGGGTCAATCTATTCGGACTTCCACAAACTGGCTTCGGAGATGCCGTACTTCCACATTAGTGACGAGTTTCGGCCATTCTCTACCAATGGTCTACACCTGGTGATCTGTGTACACGGGTTGGACGGGAATTCGGCAGACCTGAGACTGGTCCGGACGTACCTGGAACTTGGCCTACCGGGGGCTCACCTGGAGTTCCTGATGTCTGAACGAAACCAGGGTGATACGTTTTCCGACTTTGACACCATGACAGACCGACTGGTGGCCGAAGTGCTGTATCACATTGAGACGTACCAGCTGAATCCAACGAGAATTTCGTTTGTGGCACATTCGCTCGGCACAATCATCGTGAGGTCGGCCCTGGCAAGACCGCAGATGCGACCACTGCTATCGAGATTGCATACATTCCTGTCACTGTCCGGGCCACATCTGGGAACTCTGTACAACTCCAGCGGACTGGTGAATATGGGTGAGTTTTTTGGAATGTTCTTGTGCCAATATGAATTTGAATCGTTTATTTAAGCTTTTTCTGAGCATACAACCCAAGCAACCATAGGCATGTTATTTCGCCTTTTTGCCTAGATTTGCAACTGATCGACTAGGGGAAATGGCCCCTAATTTGGGCCCATACATAAATTCAGCAGTCGACTAAATTTTCAATAGTGACCAAAAATATCCAATTGTACCGTCCCAATGACGCGTTCATCTAGATAAAATTGATAAATAGCAGATTTTAGCGATGGGCCCAATCTTAGATCCATAGGCCAACATTAGAGCCAATTCCTCTTTTCTGTGTTATTGCTGAGCCGGTTTGAAACACGAATGGAACTCTTCAAATTTCTTTTGATGTATTTATAGATGTTTCTCGTAAATGTTCAAAGAACTTCATAGTAATTGAGAGATTTGGGAATTTTACAGAAGTCTTGGGAACAACTGAGAAGTGTGGAGATATTTCATAGAACTTCATAAAAGTACGAAGAGCATCACAAAAAATGGGAGATCTTCGTAGAGAACAGAAAACTTTAAGAAACATTTTTTTTTTTCAGAAAGTATCATACAAGTTCTGGGAATTTCATATTATATTATAAAATTTCATGGAAATGCATGGATTTTCACAGAATTTCATGAAAGCCCCTGCGTCTTTTACATCAAACAGATATTCTCTAATATGATACCAAACTGCTCAGAAATTATTCCAACAATCTTCAGTTATTCTAAGTGCTCAATGAAGTCCTCTTGATATATTTTCAAGTATTCGGGTTGATCAGCTATTATTCTAAAGATCTTCAACCATCCAACAATTAAAATCACGTTTATTAGATGATCTCTCATGATACCGGGTTGCTCAGAAATTATTCCCAAGACCATCAGGTGTTCAGAGATTTCCATGCTAACCTCAGGGGTGACACATGTATCATTCTGAAAATATCCAATTATCCAAAAATCCAAATCACATTCCTCCAAGGAATCAAAAATATCTCCAAATGACAAAATGACAAACGATCAACGAGCCGAACGATAACGCTTTACTAGAAATGGAAAGCTTTACTCTTCTTGGTCCCTGAGGATTGCACCTGTGTCACAATGTTACGCCAACTAACTCGGCTGCTTGTCTCCAATTTCTTGACCGTTCCATACTTCCTAGATCTTGCTCCACTTGGTCTAACCACCTTGCTCGCTATGCTCCTCTGCGTCTTGTACCGGCCGGATTCAAGGCGAACACATTTTTTGCGGGATTGTTGTCTAGCATTCTTAAAACGTGTCCCGCCCATCGTACCCGTCCAGCTTTCGCGACTTTCTGGTTACTGGGTTCACCATAGAGTTGCGCCAGCTCATGTTTCATTCTTCTCTTCCATACACCACCGTTCTCACATACCCCGCCAAAGATGGTCCTAAGCACTCGTCGTACGAAAACACCCAGTGCTTGCAGGTCCTCCTCGATTATCGTCCACTTCTCATACCCGTAGAGAACTACCGGTCTTAGCAGCGTCTTGTACATGGTACATTTAGTACGGGGGTGAAGTTTACCCGACCTCAGGGACTTATGGAGTCCGTAGTAAGCACGACTTCTGGCAATTATTTGTCTACAAATTTCTCTGCTGCAGTTGTTATCCGACGTCACAAATGATCCGAGGTACACAAATTCATCCACCACCTCGAATTCATCTCCGGTGATTGTCACGCTTCTGCCTATGCGAGCCCTATCTCGACGTATTCACCTTTAATGCAACCTTCTCTGCTTCACGTTTCAGCCTGGTGTATTACTCCACCACGGCCCGAAACGTGCTTCCGACAATGTCCACGTCATCAGCGAAGCAGATGAACTGGCGGAACTTATTGAAGATCGTTCCCCGCAGGTTAAAGCCCGCACTTTTCATAACACCTTCTAGCACAATGTTGAACAGGAGGCCGTAAAGACCATCGGCTTGTCGAAGTCTTTTGCGAGATTCAAACGGGTCCGATAACGCACCCGATATCTTCACGCAGCACTGTACACCATCCATCGTAGCCCTGATCAGTCTGGTCAGCTTCCCGGGAAAACCGTTTTCGTCCATAATCTTCCATAGCTCTTCACGGTCAATAGTATCATAAGCGACCCTGAAATCGATGACTAGGTGGTGCGTAGGGACTTGGCGTAAAAATTTGGTCCGTTGTCGATCACCCGTCCACAAAACTGGGTTGGTAACTTCCCACGAATCTGCTTGCTAGCGGCGATAGACGGTGAAAGATGATCTGGGAAAGCACTTTGTAGGCCGCGTTGAGTGATCGCTTGATAGTTTTCAAATTCTAGCTGGTCGCAATTTTTTATATATTGGCCATATTACTCCCTCCTTCCAATCCTCCGGTAGTTGTTCTGTATCCCAGATCCTGACTATCAGTCGGTGCAGACAAGTGGCCAACTTATCTGGGCCAATTTTATTAAGTTCCGCTCCGATACTATCTTTAAAAGCTGCTTTGTTGTTCTTAAGCTTTCGGATAGTATCCTTAACTTCACCTATCGTGGGAGCTGGCATGTCCCCCTCATCCGTTGTACCGACGAAGCCATTCCTCCTGCTGCCTTGGTCCTCTGACTCTGCGTCATTCAGATGTTCATCGTAGTGCTGCTTCCACTTTTCACTCACCTAACGTTCGTCCGTCGTCCGTCGTCACATTTCGGCTCGCGGCACAAAGCCTTTGCGGGATTAGTTGAGTGTCTCGTAGAACTTGCGCGTTGCGAGGGAGCGATACAGCTGCTGCATTTCTTCGCACTCCAGCTCTTCCAGGCTGTCGCTTCTGTTTGTATTGCTCCTCATTTTGACGGGTTCCTTGGTGCAGCATCCTCACCCGCGCTGCGTTCTTCTCGTCCAAAACCATCTGACACTCCTCGTCGAACCAATCGTTCCGTCGATTCCGCTCCACAAACCCAATGTCACCTTCAGCAGTGCCGTTAATCGCTTCTTTCTATTCCAGCAATTCAATAATGATATATGTAATCTTTTTCCTCTTTCTTCATGACAACACAGCTTGCTCGGCTCGTCAGAAGGAAACGACCAAATTTTTGGCCACTGCTTCACGAAGTAAAGACGAAGATGATACACGGGTGTTAATGGATTTTTTTTTTTTTTTTTTTGTTACACACTTAGTCTATGTCTTTTATCGATTCTGATCAAGCTATGTCCTGAACCATGTATATTGCAACAGCAAGTCCCCGTAACGTGGGTAGATCACCTTTTCGTGGTACGTTACGGGATGTAAGATCTACCACCGATTGCTAGTGCTGACTACTTCAAACATGGGGAACAGAACTTTTCAGTAATCTAAGGAACACATCTTAGTCCTTGTTACTTTTTATGACTTGTAGATAGTGACAAGACTCGGCTTTGTCCACCGAGGATAATCTTGAAACAAGGCAAAAATGAGTTAGTCTTCATCTATGTGATTGTGATGTGGTATTAGGTCCCGAACAGAGGATATTTTTGCAACAAAGTAGGCAAGCAATATATCATTATCCTTCTATCACGTAGCAAGTGTTTTGTTTATATCGTTGGTTGGTTTATGTGCTTGGATTCGCTGGCCATGAGTCGAAATGTATCGCAGAAAACCTAAAAAATAGACGCACATATCATTCAGAAATTACCAAACCGGAGGTGGCGTTCGATTCCTTGTCCGATCGAGGAAATCTATCGGATTGGAAAGTTTCTCGACTTCCCTGGACATAGAGTATCATTATGCTTGCCACACAATAAACAAGGTCACACATTGATTGGTATAGGAAGCTCTCAATTAATAACTGTGCGAGTGCATCTAAAACACTAAGTTAAGAGCATGTAAATCGCTCGCAAAAGAAGCTTTAAAAACCTAGATTGTGATCTCGGCCTCGGGTGGCAGATAGTACACTCGTAGGGTAAATGCTCCTATAGTTGCGGTACGATAGAAGCGTTAGGTTCCCATAGTTGTGCATGGAGACTCAATACACAACTATAGGAACCTAATGCGTCTAACGTACCGCAACTATAAGAGCATTTACCCTACGTATTAAACATCATCATACCATCATAGCAGCCCGACATTCGTGATCATTATTTAATCCGAGGATAATACCGGTTGGAGCTTATCACCATGATATATACATACAACCTCGCATACAATCGGTTTATACCACAATTGCGAGTGAATTGGGTTCTTTAAGAGTATTAAGGTAAATGCATATTAGTAATCTGGATTAAAAATGGAACCCAAACCCAAAATTTCATCAATTTTGGTACACTGGAACTATTTTAAATATGAACAATTACACTTATTAGCGCCCCTCGGTGTCACTTTGTATGGGAGCGAGCTGTCAGTTTGTCAGTTTAGTTTCAAACTTGGGAGCCATCGTTCACTCTGACCCAGTCGAGCCAATCGCCGTTTCCTGCCAGTCATCTGTGGTATCCTGCCGTCCAAGTCGTTCCGGCCCTGTGGTCGGAGATAGGGCGAGGGTCTCCCATCCTGGCTTTTCAGGCAAGTATGCGTGCTTTCTCGGTGAATCTCCTCGTGATGAACATTTGGATTTCAGCGCAACACCCACTCAAATTCATTGCATTCTGCCGATGAACGGACGCGAAGTTTGTGACAATCCTTCCTCAACAACTTCCGAGCTACGCATTTACTATCAGAATGCACGAGGACTTCGGACAAAGATAGATTCTTTCTTCTTAGCTACAACTGACTCGGAATATGATGTTATCGTGCTAACTGAGACTTGGCTGAACGATTGCATCTTGTCTACTCAATTATTCAACGACTCTTACACTGTGTTCAGGACAGATCGTAGCTCTTTGAACAGTCGAAAAACTCGTGGTGGAGGTGTATTGATTACCGTCTCTTCTAAATTGTGTTGCTGTATTGATCCAGCTCCGATAAGTAATGCTCTCGAGCAGATTTGGATCAAAATCAAACTGCAGAACTATGATGTCAGCATTGGAGTGCTTTATCTACCACCTGATTGCAGAGACGACCTGTCGCTCATACAGCAGCATACTGACTCCATTGATTCAATCCTTTCCGGCTTGAGGCCTCATGACCTTGCTTTCCAGTTTGGAGACTATAATCATCCTGAAATGCACTGGGTACCATCAGAGGATGGTGGCCTCACAATAGATTCCCATACATCGAGATTAACGAATGCTAGCTGTGCATTGTACGATGCCTTCTGCTTCCAGGGTCTGACACAAATCAATACTGTGAAGAACTCCAGTTCACGGATTCTCGATTTAGTACTCGTGAATGACTCAGCGTTATCAAGCTGTTGCATATCCGAAGCGGCTGAATCGCTCGTAGAAATCGATACTCCACATCCTGCTATTGACGTCACCGTTTCTATTTCGGTACCAGTGTCATTTGAACCATCTCTAGACGACTGCCGGTTCGATTTTCGTCGGGCTGATTATAGTTCGATGAATGATGCGCTATTATCAATCGATTGGCAATTTTTAGATTCTGATCAGGATCTGGACGATATTGTATGTATTTTCAACACGGAGATACGTCAAGTCATCGAAACTCAAGTGCCTCTTCAGCGCCCTCCACTGAAGCCTCCTTGGACGCCAGTTGAAGCACCGTAGGCGATCTGCACTTCGAACGTATAGTCGGAGTCGTTCGCAGCACTCCAAACATCGCTTTGTAATGGCCAGTAACAAGTACACACGGTATAACCGTCTATTGTATGCTCGATACGTTGATCGTACGCAGAGAAATTTACGTCTACATCCCAAACAGTTCTGGTCTTTTGTTCGTACTAAACGCAAAGAAGATGGATTGCCAACGTCCATGTATTTCGGCGACCAATTTGCTAGCACAGCCTCTAGTAAATGTGAGATCTTTGCTGAACACTTCAAGAATGCCTTCTCAAATACGCCTGCTACGCCATCGCAGATAGAGGCTGCTGTTCGTGATACGCCGCTAGACAGCATCGACTTTGGAATTTTCCAGATCAGCGAGGAGCATGTCGAAAATGCATTACGTAAGCTCAAACATTCCGTGTCACCCGGTCCTGATGGGATTCCTTCATCTGTGTTGAAAAACTGCTCGAGTTCTCTGATGACACCGTTAGTAAAACTGTTCAATCTCTCGTTCCAACAGCAAAAATTTCCTGCTGGATGAAAAACTTCGTTTCTGTCACCGATTCAATGTAACGTCGTCAACTACCGTGGAATAACGTCCTTGAGCGCTTGCTCTAAGGTTTTTGAAATAATTGTAAACAACGCTCTCTTTGAAGCCACCAAAAACTACATTTCATGTGCCCAGCATGGATTCTACCTGAAACGATCTGTTACTACTAACCTCACTCAGTTCACCTCACTCTGCATACGCTCTATGGACGCTGGTTCACAAGTGGACGCCGTATACACGGACTTCAAGGCTGCATTCGATCGTGTGAATTATGATATCCTGTTGCAAAAACTCGAGAAGCTGGGGGTATCTTCCGCGCTTGTTAGCTGTTTTAGATCATATCTGTCTGAAAGATCCGTGACAGTAAGGATTGGTTCGTCACATTCGGAGCCGTTTATGATTCCTTCTGGTGTACCGCAAGGGAGTAATCTTGGACCGCTGCTCTTCTCATTATTCATAAATGACATTGCCTTTGTGTTGCCACGTAGACAGCGAATATTCTATGCCGACGATGTTAAGATCTTTATGATCATCACGTGCACTGAGGATTGCCTGGAGTTGCAGAGGTTATTAGATTTGTTCGAGGACTGGAGCAAGCGAAACCTACTCGATTTATGCATAGCCAAATGCAACACAATATCATTCAGCAGGAAGCGGCAACCAATCAATTTCAACTATAGCATGTGTGGACAAACTCTCGAGCGCTTGTATCAGGTTAGGGATCTCGGTGTGATATTGGACCGCGAACTCACTTTCCGATGGCATTACGAAGACGTGATTGCAAAAGCCAATAAACAGCTCGGCTTCATGTTTAAGCTTGCTGATGGATTTCGTGATCCTCTCTGCCTGAAGTCCCTTTTCTGTGCACTGGTTCGATCTATTTTGGAATCTTCCGTGCTGGTATGGTGCCCGTACAACAGAAACTGGATTGACCGTATCGAGGCGGTGCAGAAAAAATTTGTGCGCCTCGCTCTTCGCCACTTACCCTGGCGTGATTCGTCAAATCTTCCTCCATATGAACATCGTTGTATGCTGTTAGGCATCGATACTCTGGAGAAGCGAAGATCCAATTTGCAAGCCATCTTCGTCGCTAAGGTAATGACCAATGAAATCGATGCCCCAGATATTCTTGCTGAATTGCACGTATATGCGCCGCAAAGACCTTTGAGGCAACGTAATTTCCTGCACCTTGCTACCCGGAACAGTCGTTATGGTCAACACGATCCTATCAGGATAATGCCTTCTCGGTTTAACGATGTTAGTGGACAGTTTGACTTCAATGTTTCTGCTGCCACTTTTCAACGCCGCCTCAATGCACAGCGGTGAGTATCTGTCCAATCACTGCTACTTCGAAAGTGTGTATTACCTGCTGTTTTTTTATTACATGATCCTTCTACAACACTACGCCAAGTTTCCAACCCTCCGACGCGTGAGCTGCGACGCATTTGCAGATTGTTGTGTTCAATTACTTTAGATTATTGACTTAGCTTTTAATATGTTTGTCATTTGTATTCATTTGTATTCAACGTGTTCTGTGTATTGACTATTTGTAATTTTATTTATTGTTATATGTATGAAAAGACATGGGGTTTTTACGCCTCTTTGAGCCAACTGAATGGTTTACTCAAAGAGGCTTTCCCCCATCCTAGATTTCATTAAGACTGAAAAAAGTCAGATGAAATAAGAAATAAATAAATAAATAAATAAATAAATAAATAAATAAATAAATAAATAAACAGTGAAGTTGTTATTTTGCTTTAAATCTTGATTTAAAAATCGAGATGAAAGTGTGTGGGTTCGAAAAAATATCGCTGTGCTCAGAAAACGAAGCTCTTTCAGATGATATATAAAAACCGATATATTTTTCAAAATTAAACAACCCTATTGAAAACGGTTATTATAGTGTTTGGAAAAACTTACCCTCCCGAGCATAAGTTTAAGGACACCCCCAAAATAACATGACAAATTTGTTATGTTCATATCTCTGTCATGTTACGTCCAATTTTCGTTCTCTTTAGATCATTAGAAAGGTATTGAATGGAACTTTCCTCGTAGGCAAATTGTTCAATATAATTTTCAAATTTTGTGTGCTAAAAGTTCACCCAAAGTTACAATATTTTTCAAAATTTACTCTGTAGAATCGTGACTGATTTTCTCAGAATTGGGTTGCCAAATTTTGAAATAAAAGTAGTAGTAGAACACTTAGGGATCGTCCATTAATTATGTCACACTTCAGGGGGGTTTTGGAAACTGTGACGAGCCTTACAAAAAACAATTAAGGTCCATATAAAAAATGTGACAAAGGGTGAGGGGGGGTTGAAAATGGGCCAAATTTGTGTGACATAACTTTCCCTTATGCTATACCATTCATACCATTCAAATAACCTTTGGAGATCTAAAATTGAACAAAACATATTTGCATGGTTTTTTGGGGTGTCCTTAAACTTATGATCGGTAGTGTAGTAACTATTGTTTGTGCAACTGTTATGTTAGAAAACTAATACCCCGGACAGGCTATGGCTTATATCATGTAATATAGGCTGGCTTAGTGTTTAACGTACGTCGGTAGTGTTTAACGTATTTTAAATATGGCATCTTGGGCACGAATTTGAAGTAGCTTGTATGAGCTGTCACGTCGATTCGTCGGTGGTATAAGCATGAGATCAATTGACGTTTGAGTGGTTTTTATGAGTTTAAAGTTGGAATGTTTCATCGTTGTGTGTGAATTTTGCTACCGTACCGCATTCGCACGTGAGTGTATGCTCGCAAGGACGCTCCATGAATGAGATTTGAGAATGGTTTTCCGAACACTGATTAATCAATTACAATATGTCGATCAAACAAATAAGAATGAAAGGGATAATAACGCTATTAATCGCCCTCGTTGTTTTTTTTTTCTATTCACAGGAATGTGGTTTATGCAAAAATGGAAGAAAAGTGGTTCACTGCTCCAATTATGCCTCCGGGATGCACCCGATCCACGGCAAAGCTTCCTCTTCCGACTGAGTCAACGGAGCACATTGCATCACTTCAAGAACGTACTCCTGTGCGGATCGTCACAAGACCGTTATGTTCCACCCCATTCGGCCCGGTTAGAGCTGTGTAAAGCCGCCGTCAGGGATCAAACCAGCCTCGGTGTTGTCTATCGGTAAGTTTGATCACCAATTACTTCATTTGCATACCTAACCAATATTCTAAAACACGCAGTGAAATGGTCCACAACATCATTGCTCCGATGTTGGCCCGGCCGGACCTCACGCTGGCCCGGTTCGACGTACACCACGCCCTTCCGCACACGGCCAACGCACTGATTGGCCGGGCCGCTCACATTGCGGTCCTGGATTCGGAATTGTTCATCGAGAAATTTTTACTAGTTGCCGGATTAAAATATTTCAGCTAGCTGATTGAACCTCAGGTTAACTTGCATAGGAATGTATGCTACGATCGTATACGCAGGATCGCTACGATCCTCCAGAGAGCAATTCGAAATGGTATAGAAGTTACACTTTACTGTTGATGGGTTAATGTTTCGGTGAATAGGAAAAGTAAGAGACAGCAATTGAATGTATTGAATGAAAAACAAATGTGAAACTATCGTTGTAGTCGATTGCAGATAGGAATTAAACTCTACAGTAGGTAACCCTTCTTTTAGATTTGGAAAACAGTCGACAGCAGATTCAGATGCAAAATAATTACAGAATATATGACTGACTCAGAGCCTAAGTTTATTTTTGTTTAGTAAATATTGTTGTATTTTTCTATTAGTTCTATATCGATAAATCAAACGTAGAATTGTAAATGATACAATTGGTACAGAGTCGTTGGAATTTTGCTGTCCACGTGTTAGGCACTGTTAGGCGTTTATCAAAATGAAATCAAACAAAAAAAAAACCGAATCTCGGATCAGAGATCGTTACACAAAATAATAATCTCCACTGCCGGCTGTTGATTCAATCGTGATTAGTTAGTGGGTTTTCGAGAATGATTTTGAACCGATTGCTTCTACACTATCAGTTTCGGACATCTTTCTCTGTATTAGTAACGTAAACGTGTAAATTGATCAAATACATATATTTTAATATAAATGAGACTGATTTAATCTAAACCACAAACTGACAAAAAGAAGAGAACAAAACCAAAAAGTAGGTATATTAATCATTTCAGTAGATCACCAAAACAAACAAGGAAAACATAATTGGGAATCAACATTACGATATTCGAAAGGAATACATTTTACGAACGTAGTTAGCGTAGCAATTTTAAGTATAAGTACAGGGATCGAGAGGCCAGAGTCTTAGTTGCGCTGAAGTAGCAGACAAGATGTGAAGGAGAAACTGTTGACCAAAAGTTAGAATTATTATCATCATTATTAAAATTGGCAAAGATTTCGTAAGATGAAAATGGCCGCGATTTTTACCTTTTCTAGTTTATTTTTACACACTCATCAAATGGGTACATCAGTGCAAATATGCTGAATCGTCTACATAACTTATAAACCTAAAAATATAATACCTAGCAATGCTTGTGCGTTGTTCCTTAGAATTCCGGGATTTTATGATTTTTCGCATAACTGCCAGAGAAAATGCTGGACTACTTATGTTGTCATCTATAAGAAAAAGTAAGAGGTTGTATCCAAGAAACGACCGTAAATTGGACGTAGATTTACGTGCTAAGTGTCAATACTCGGCGGCTGTGCTAGGGAAACCTCATTTTCCCATTACGGAAGCAACTCGTTTTCTGGCGACAAAATCTCGCATATTCGTGTACAAAACGCACGGATTTTTGGTTTATTCAATATATAATACAAAAAGGGAAAATTTATTGGAAGAATTTTTGCTAAAATTTTCCAATCGTGAGATATTCGCGATTAGTCATATAAATTCGAGATTTTTTTACTTTTTTATAGCGTCCTGGGAAAACCTTACCTTCATTCGAATTAATGGTTAATTGACTAGGTGGTATTCGGTCATTGTGAGAATTTGTATGTACCACTTCAATACTGTTACACATTTGACCACAAACGTTTGGCTGCTGGGTACATTATCAAAGAGCTTTGGGGATGATGTGGCAGACAGCAAGGCGAGCGAACGTTCAACGAAAATTAACTCCTAAACAACAATGAATTATAGTAGTCCTGAAAAGGACCGCTTTGTCGTGATGGTTGAGTGCTGCTGAACTATTAGGGTGTTCAACACGGATGAGGCTGGCGAGCTGTATGATGTTTTCACCGAGGGTGACGCCCTTGGCATAGATGGCCCACAGCGACTCAAGACGAGCAACTGAATCCGATCAGTAGCGGTATGGCTTCTTTCTCCTTCGTCGGTGAATCGAGGGCTCTTAAGAGCGTTGTGTACTCGATTTTGAAATCTGTGTTAGGGAAAGCGCTTTTTGCAGGCAATCGGTGATAATTTTAACTATCATAGCAACAGTTGCACATTCGCAAAATAGCATCTTTTTGAAAATTGATAAATTTTTAATTTTAACAGATTCTTAGAAAATTTTCTTATCGATTGGCGTATAAAGAATTAAAATCCATCATCTCTGGATTAAAATCAGACCACTTTCATGCCACGACTTTGGTTTTTGTAAATGCACCCCCGATCTTAAAAATACACGGTATGTTAGATTTAAACTTACCTGCACGGGTGGTGTAGTGGTAAGCGTGATTATCCGTTACTCCAGCAGGCCAATCTCAGTCAGCGCTGCCGGGATGTTTTGAGGCATAACAAGAATTCAAATTAAAATGTGCTAGAACACTAGGGCCGCCATATACGAAATGTTGCGACTCGAGTTATCACTTTTTGTGATTAATGAGTAAACTGATTTGGTTTGATCTTATTGATCGTGTATCCAAATGAACTATCAAATCAGTTCAAAACAAACAAGACAAAACAATGGAAGTCAATCAAGTTTCTGCGGAACCATTATTTTCGAATAAAAAAAAAACTAAGTTCCTTTACAGTTTCCTGTAGATCTACGACCATTTTTCGTTACAATTTTAACTGGGCATCAAGGGGTAGGTCACTCCGCACACCAATCTTGGGTCAACATTGTTCTCATTGTGCCGCAAGTTTACCGCTGGTTTGCCGATTGTGCCGGCAGTGCAGGGCATAGAGCAAGCTGTTATTTTTCAAAAAATAGTATGGTATATTTGGCAACCCAGTATATCTGACAGCTTGAGTGTTTAGGTTTGCAATCGCAACGGCCCTGAAAATTTCGAATATCGTGCTCGATAAGGATTTCTTTTACCGACGAATAAAACGCCTCTACGCCAGCCGGAAGGAACCAGAGTTTTCCCACGATGATTCGCTGCAGAAGGTGGATTACATTCTGACGGTGGTTGGCGTAGACGAGGAAACCATCTACAGCAAATCCACCTCGTTGAAGACCTGGCTGCAGGGATACGAGCTGATCGATACGATTACGGTGCTGTGTGAAAAGTCAATCTTTTTCCTGACCAACAAGAAGAAGGCCGATTTCCTGAAGCAGATCGAGGAGGGCATTCCGTCGGTGAAGTTGTTGGTTCGGGAAAAGAACTACAAAGACAAGTTCGACAGTGAGCATGCATAAGGGCCTATACGCGATGATCGATTCTCTTCGTCGATTTTCTCTTTTGTTAATAACTCGCTAGATTTAACGTTTCTCGGTGCGTTTGCTGTTGCTTTCGATAGCCAATACAACCTGTTACTACTCTGCATTGAACAAATTCTAGAAAATTGTTTCGCCTAGCTGTAGCAATGCAAAGAGAAAATCGATGAAGAGAATCGATCATCGCATATTCGCCCTTATGAATGCTCACTGTCGAGTTTAATTTTGAAAAGCTGCTGGAGGCGATTAAGAGATCCAAGGATGGCAAAACTTTGGGCGTTGAGAGTTTCGACACGGTGGACATCAGCGAACCAATCGCATACATCATGCCCTCCAAGGAGGACTCCGTGGTTATCACCATCAAACGGTAGATGGATCACGCCATGGAGATTATGGATGCTGATAAGAAAGTAAAACATGCCAAACTGTCGGAGGGTGTCGAACAGGCCCTGACGGACAAAAGGTACGTCTCCGGTGTGGATACCTTGTTGGACATGTGCTACCCGCCGATTATCCAGGCGGGTGGCAATTACAGCTTAAAGTTCAGTGCATTCAGCGACAAGAACTATCTGTACTTTGGATCTATCATTTCTGCTCTGGGTGCGCGTTACAAGTCCAACTACTCCAATGTCGTCCGAACGTTGACCGGAAACGATTCAGAAGCACTTGACCTTTCTGCTCAATCTGGAAGAGGAACTACTGAAGGTGATGATTCCGCGCAAGAAGATTTTCGGCGTCGGAATGGTTTATGCCAAGAAGGAGGATCTCAAACTAAGACGTTCGGTTTTACAATCGGATTGAAGTTCCGGGACAATTCGATCGTAGTACCTGAACAAATGAAATTCAGTTTTAAAATTGTAAGTTAATTAGTTCGAGTTGCAGCAATAAACATTCCGCGTGATTGTGCCGCGAGAATTAGTTCGGTTTTGTTCAAGTGAGTTTGGTTTGGTAGCCGACCAATTGACCGACTACTTTTTACGGCACAATCACACGGAATTTTTTTTGCTTCCCCTCAACCTAATTAACTTTTATTTTTATTGCAAAAATCGAAAACCATTTATTTCATCTCGTATAAGATGTCACGTATCCGAAAATAAAACTACTCAAATTTAAACCGAAATCTCACTTCAAATTTACATACGTCGCATCGGTGGTAAGGCCACAGTTGTTACTCTTCACCACCATCAACGCATATCCATCGTTGGACCAGGAGGTCTTGATTAGCTAGGAATCTTCTCCTTTGAGTTTTCCGTATCCAACCGCCACCACTGCATGATTATATCCATCCAAATTGCTCTTGCATTCCGGTTCATATTACACTCAATTTGCGTAGTAGCTGAAAGACTTGTGACCGGTTGCGATAGCAATCGACAGCCCTCGGAAGCCTACATTTCAAATTTAAATGTGAACCGAGAAGTGATTTGCTGGTCTGAGTTCCTCTAGAATATTCAATTAGAGTATGATTCTGAATTACACAGTCAAACAGCACGTAATGTTGTGAACAACTTCAATAACAGCAGTTCAGCAGTGCTCCCATTTTATTTAATGAACAATCCAATCCCTACGAGATTGTGCCGATGGATGTTTTTTTTTGTTTATTATAGAGGTTTTGAACCAACGGTTTCATTCGCCTCTACCGATGGATGTGTCCAAGCTGTGCCGAATCTAATTTCAGCACACTGTGCTGAGTGACTTACCCCTTTCTGGGCATAGTAGTGAGGAGTAAAATTGACATTTATTGAGTTCACTGGCGGCGTATCTCCAAATGATTCAGTGAGGGTGTGAGCTCTAATTAGCCTTCATTTAAATTCATAAAAATGTGGTAAGATTTGAACACTGCTTACCCTGCATCCGTTACTCCAAGAATTCGAAAAGCCTCCGGGGGAAGTGGTCGGAACATAACTTTTTCGTTGCATGCGCTTGGACTACACGTGAGAAGAAAATCTCCTGTAGTTCGGACAATTCCTATGGGCACGCAATAACATTTAAATCCAACGCAGGCAACGGCTGTAATTAAATTAATTGCATTAACTATTGCTTTAATTACATTAAAACATCATTAATACATAAACATCTCACGAACGAGTGTGAGGTGAGTGAGAGGTGGAAGCAGTACTATGACGAGCACCTCAACGGTGAAGCAGCAGAAAACGAAGGTGGCACGGCAACAGACCTTGGAGCACGCGCAGAAGACGACAGGCTACCGGCCCCTGATCTTCAAGAAGTTGAGGAGGAGATCGGTCGGCTGAAGAACAACAAAGCAACTGGTGTAGATCAACTACCAAGTGAGCTATTAAAATACGGTGGTGAAGCACTGGCTAGAGCGCTGCACTGGGTAATTACCAAGATTTGGGAGGAGGAGATATTACTGGAGGAGTGGATGGAAGGTGTCGTATGCCCAATCTACAAAAAGGGCGACACGTTGGATTGCTGCAACTACCGCGTGATCACACTGCTGAGCGCCGCCTAACAAGGTTAATTCTATGCCGCTGCCTGTCACCATTTGCAAGAGACTTCGTGGGACAATACCAGGCGGGGTTCATGGGTGCCCGCGCTACCACGGACCAAATTTTCGCGATTCGGCAGGTTCTGCAGAAATGCCGCGAATACAACGTGCCCACACATCATTTGTTCATCGATTTCAAATTCGCATACGACACAATCGATCGAGATCAGCTATGGCAGATTATGCACGAGTACGGACTTCCGGACAAACTGACGCGATTGGTCAAGGCGACGATGGATCGAGTGATGTGCGTTGTTCGAGTATCGGAGACACTATCGAGTCCCTTTGAATCTCGAAGGGGGTTACGGCAAGGTGATGGACTTTCGTGTCTGCTATTCAACATCGCGTTAGAAGGTGTGATCAGAAGAGCTGGGATAGACACGAGTGGCATGATATTCAGGAAGTCCATCCAGCTCCTTGGCTTCGCCGATGACATTGACATTGACATTATGGCACGGAACTTTGAGATGATGGCGGAAACGTACATCAGACTGAAGGCTGAAGCTAGGCGGATTGGACTTGCCATCAACGCATCGAAGACAAGATACATGAAAGGAAGAGGTTCTAGGGAAGACAATGTTAGCCTCCCACCCCGAGTTCAGATTGACGGTGACGAAATTTCGTGTATTTGGGCTCACTGGTGACCGCCGACAATGATACC